ACACAGACGGGGCCATTTTATTTACATGAAAAGCATTCTGGGCAAATGATGACATCGGATAGGTCCTCAGTGTGAGCGAGCTATATCCACCCTGAAGGTTAATCTTGGACAATATCTGATGATCGACTCTTTTAAATGAAACCAGAGAGCGTTGACAGAGAGGAGAAGGTAGAAATGACTCAGCCTGTAACTGAAAATATGGATGGAGGACCTCAGTTTAGCTTGTTTGTTGCGCTAGCACCGAGCTAATACATAAGGGTATATAGCATCAGCACTAGCACAAAGGCTAACAGGCTAAACTGATGTTCTCCATCCATATTTTCAGTTACAGGCTGAGTCATTTCTACCTTCTCCTCTCTGTCAACGCTCTCTGGTTTCATTTAAAAGAGTCGATCATCAGATATTGTCCAAGATTAACCTTCAGGGTGGATATAGCTCGCTCACACTGAGGACCTATCCACGTCATCATTTACCCAGAATGCTTTACGTGTAAATGGCTCCGTCCGTGTTAAAATATATATATTTTTTTAAATTACAACACTAAACAGCCTACAATATTTTTACAGTTTTTATTTTACAGTTAAAATAAATGTTAATCAAATAAAGTATAATGTTACAACTAATCAGGGATCCCTTTAAATACATTCTCATTCTTACCTGCATATGTCCTCATGTCCATTCAAGTTTTTTGCAAGTCCAAACAAAGAAATGAAATAAGTTAGCATGTAGTCATTTTATCACCCACCTTCTCATACCTGCAAACTTGTTGCTTTCCAGCGAAAATTGCAGATTTCAAAACAAAATAAATCACTTATGTGAGTCATCTAGATCCAAAGATTTTTATTTTTATTTTTTTGTCGGGTGGGTGTGGGGGGTCCAGAGGCATGGGAGTTTGCACAATTTCCCATGAACTCGTTTCAGAAACAAAGTGTTTTTCTTCACAATAGAAGATCTTTGGAGCGTGAGTCGTTTATGATTGGCGTCTAAAATGGAAGGGCCTCCTCACCAGCGGGGGTTAGGGTACCGTAATAACTCCATGTTGGCTGTGAAGTGCAACTTCTCAGCTTTCAGAAAACATCAGAATTGTTCTGATGGCACAAAGTAGAGCTGGGCGATATGATCAAAATTTTATATCACGGTATTTTCAACATTTTCACCGGTTTCACGGTATTTGATGGTATTTTTCTTTTCATCACAGCTCAGCTGATAATAAAATGTACAAACCCTGCTTATTGACTTTTTTTTTCTTTTACTGTACCTCTGTCTGTGTCGCTGTTTCCCTCCTCTGTCTGTTCTTCTCTGACTGGTGGTTGGAGACAGTAGTAATGCGTTTTGGTCCAGTCGTGAAGGAGGAAGGTTACGAATAGTTTATGATCGGGTTTATTGTTTTATGTTATTTAATAAAGATTATCAGCCCGACTCACCTTACACACCAGTCAATTCCAACTCCACTACGAACTACTTCCTGCGGGCTTTTCACAATAGAACCACGTTAAGTCTCCATCAGCATAACGTCTCCATATTAACTCCATCCATCCATCCATTTTATTCCTCCTATCCGGGGTCGGGTCGCTGGGGCAGCAGCTTCAGAAGGGAGGCCCAGACCTCCCTCTCCCCAGCCACTTCTTCCAGCTCCTCCGGGGGAACTCCAAGGCGTTCCCAGGCCAGCTGAGAGACATAGTCCCTCCAGCGTGTCCTGGGTCTTCCTCGGGGCCTCCTCCCAGTGGGACATGCCCGGAATACCTCACCAGCAGGGCCGGATTAACACTTTGCTGTACCCTGGGCAACAATATTCAAGGGCCCCATCATCACGACCCCAGGATTACCAT